GAAAATAACGTATCTTTAGATGCGGATTTTGTTAAACTAATGCGTTTGCGCTGTGGACCAACACTATACATTGACGGGGAAGGGGGTAGCAATAAAGATAACACCATTAAACAGTTACACAACATAACAGAAATAATATCGATAGAAGCGTCCCTAGCAACCACCTTGGTAACAATGAAAACGTTGTATAAATACAATTACATCCACTGCACACATAATCTGAAGTAACAACTCATATTTCTCCCATCAAATGACATCAAAACGCATTTTAATGGCCAAACTAACTTAAAAATAGGCATTTTACACCGAGAATAAAACGAAGTTCGGCCATGTTTTTTTTTCTGGCAGGGGAGAAATGTGAAGATCACGTGACATAGACGCCAGCCATTGGAATGAATTGGTGAAAAAAAAAACGTAGGGATCCTACAATTTCAGAGGCGGTTTTCGTAGAAATATACTACGTCCTACGTTGTGGACCAACGTAGTTATTACACGTTTTTTTTATATGAGACTTGGGTTGGTATCTCAGCACTTACGACCCACATGGTAACAACCACAGACAGTTCCAACTCTTTCATCCAAAACCCAAAATGTGTCAATGCCTCCCCCCCCCCCCCCCCCCACTGACACTTTTTTACCTCAGCCACATCATAGAGTCTATGCAGCATTAATGCACACAAATGTAAAGAATATCTGTTTTATTTTCTTATTACTGCCGATTTTATTTTTTATTCCATATTGTTTTCCTTTGTATTCGCATTGCAATGTGACATACTGTTATATTCATATTTTTTATTATTTGTAATATTTTTTCCAGTTTCTATCTGTGTTTAAATTGTTGTTTCTTACTTTTATGTCTTGCACCACGACTACCTAGTCAAATTCCTCGTAAGTGTAATACCTACCTGGTAAATAAACCTGTTTCTGATTCTGATTGTGATAACATATACTTCATTTGGACTGAAAAGGTGAAAGCCAGAAATGAACACACAAATGAAACACATTGTATTGAATTGGTTGGGTACAAATATTTGTGGCTGATTATCTGACATTAGCATCAATGATATTTGGACACAAAGCAGGAATTATAGCCCAACAGACCGAGAAGTGCGCAGGTTAGGATCATTCAATGTTTTTGGGAAACACCATATTCATGAACTTAATCACTTCACTCTTTAGATAAGTTGGTTAACTGAGGACCTCTGGCACATCACCTGAGGATTGTGGATCCCTGCTATCTGCAGCAGAATCAATGAAAGGCAGATGTGTATTGGCTTCAAATTCCCTGCTGCTGCATATTGCACTGGGGCAGCAGGGACTTCAATTTTTGTAGCATGAATATTTAAAAGATCAAGCATAGTTTGAGACTTTTTTTTGTGTTTCGGGGGGCGTGAGTAAATACAAATAAAAATATATTTCTGATATGTATTTAAATAATTTTGGGAATATTTGTATTTAATATTATTATTATTGTTATGATAAATAATACACACAACATGGATACAGGATATAGGGCAGCAGCCCTTACTAAAACTTGTTTATACCTAAAATGAAAGTGTTTCCCAGTTCTAAAGGGATATACGCAAGGGTGCACATAACTTGTACGCAGGTTACGCATGCGCGGCCACACATCTGAATTGCGTAACGTCCACTTGTGTCACTACCGCCTTTACGTAAACTCAAAACATCAAAACAAAACAAATATTCGTCTACCACGTGTTTTCCTTGTCACACACGTCAAATGGAGTAAACTATGGGATTAGTCCTATTTCGTATATGAGCTTCGCCCTCTAAAGGCTATCGCTATTGGTAATCCCCCTGCGCACCCGCCGCAGCACTGAAACACTTGTATTCCACGCCCACCCGCAGGTGGGCCCCGCCTTCGGGCCTCCTTCGGTATAAATAGGAAAAGGAGGCCCGGCATCGCTCGCCTCTTTTCTTCAGCAAACCTCGGCAGTTACTGAAGCACAGAACCACTAAACATCATGAAGCAACAACTGCGTCCGAAATTGTCCCTCATGTGGCTCAGGATATGTCATGAGCTATGACCAGCACGCAATGTGGCGAATCCTGCCTGGGCCAGAGTACGCGGACGCGGGCTTCTCAGCCAGCAGGTCGCTTGCTCACATTGTGGCCCGTTCTCCATCAGCCGACAGGAAGCCGAGAGCGACGCTCTAGCTGCTGCGGCCGACGAGGACGATGGCCCATCGCAGCACGTGGACGGCCAGCATGTCCCCTGGAGCGGGTGGCCGGGCAGGAGGTCGGAACGACTCCTACCCCGTACTCCCTCCATGGTTCACCGTGGCGTTTCTCCCTCCCTTCTCTCCCCGGATGGGGAGACAGAGTCGGAGCAGGGGGCCCTGGTTTGGCGGGCCGAGCATGCGGCCCCTTCTCCGTCGCCACCAGGACGGCGCCCCTACGTTGAGCTCTCCCAGAGAGTATGGTCGCCCGCCAGGCCGACCGGTTGCACCAGTGTGCCTTTCTGGCCGGCGGCGAAATATCATCGCGCTGCTCTCCAACCGGATGGTGACACTGGTAGAGCGGTCCACCACCGAGCAGGAGGAAATCAGCCAAAGGCGGCCAGCAGGGCACTCACTCTGTGCGCTGTCCGTCGCTGTCTCCCAGGCGAGGAATTTCCGCGTGGTGACACAGATCCAGGCGCCACCTGCAGCAGGCGTCTGTTACCGGAGACGGCCAGAAAAGTGGCTAGCTGGACGCTCCAATCAGCCCGTACGGGCCGTTAGACCCCAGTTCACACGCGCATGGTGGAGTCCATTGAAGGGCCGCGGAACAGGCGGACGGGCTTCGCCAGCATGTCAGCTGCTCCCAGCCTGCTGAGCGCCCACAGCGGCAACAACGTCCGCAGCAGCCGCAGCAGCCGCAGCAGACGCAGCAGCGCACAGCCGCGGCGTCCACCGGCCACAGGGCAGCAGCCGGAGAGACGTCCACAGCAACGCCACGGCGTCAGACCTCGCCCGTCGGCGAGCTGCAGCGAGCTACCGGCCTCATCTCCGCTCCCCTGCCACCCCCAGAGACGGTCTCCCGGCGGCGAGTAAAGGGGAGTGAGGCTCCCCCGCTCCTGGTCTGCTCCGCGAGAGCCTCCGAGGAGCAGAGGCCGGTAATTAGCCGGCGCCACTACTCTGTTTGATTAAGTAGCAGCAAGGGCCCCCTGCCAGAAGACCTGCTGGTTTTAACCTATCGTTAATAAACGCAGGCTGCGCATTCCTCCGTCCGAGATATCGCCTCCTACACCGTCCATAATAATCCAGAGCGCCGTTATAAACCGGGCCCCCCCTCCCCCAAATGTGGCAGCACTGCACACACCTCCACATCATCCCCTGAGCGTGTACACGCCTCATGATGAGCAGTCGGAGTGAAACGCAGCGGTGTAGCTTCCTCGGCAGGACCTTTCGCCTGCGGGGCCCAGCGGTGGCGAGGGCAATGGGCGTGGCTCGTCACCATGACGACCAGCAGAAAAAAAAAGAAAAAAAAAAAAAAAAAAAAAAAAAAAAAAAAAAAAAAAAGCACATCACAGAGATGCCAGAATTGAATGAGCAGTAATTCAAGGCCGAGTGCCCCCAGCGGCCCAGAGCCCGCAGTGGCCAGCGGCGGCCCTAGTTTGCTGCAGAAGCCTGCTGGTTTTAAGCCTACAGTTAATAAACTGCAGAGCTTGCTAATTAAGCCGGCTGCCACTAATCTCTGTTTGATTAAGTAGTACCAGGCAGGGCTCGGCTGCAGAAGGCCTGCCGTTTTAACCTTGGTTAAATAACCTGGCAGAGTCGGCGGCATTCTCTGCTCGAGAATATCGCCTCCTATCCACCACGGTCATCAATAAACCATGAGCGCCAGTTATATAAAGCCATCATGTGGGAAGCAGCTGCCACACACCTCCCATCCATCCGCCCCTGAGCGTGACGCGCTCATGATGAGAATCGAGTGAGAAGCGGCAGCGTGTGGAGGCTCCCGCCAGCCCTTTCCGTCCAAGCCCACCCTTGGTTGGGCCTCACCGCCCCTGTGTAAACCCCGAGCCTGCCTAATAACCTGTCCCGGTTAATGACCAGCAGGGCTCGTGTGGCGAAAGCCTGGTTTTTAACCCTGCCGGTAATAAATTGCAGAAGCGCGCCTTAAATTAAACCGGCTGGCCACTAATTCTGTTGATTAGTAGACAGCGGGGCCTCGCTGGGCAGAAGCCTGGTTTTAAGCCTGTTGGTTAATAACTACAGAGCTCGCGGCATCCTCTGTCCGAGATAGCGCCTCGTACACACGGCTTATAAGACCAATGAGCCGCCGTTAAACCCTCATGTGGGCAGCACTGCCACACCTTCCATTCCATCCCCTGAGCGTGTAGCGCGCCTCATGATGAGAAGTCGGAGTGAGGACGCAGCGTGTGGAAGCCCCCGCCACAGCCCTTTTTGTCCAAGCCACACCTTGGGGTTGCCTCACGGGCCAAGGCGGCCGGCAAGGGCTCTGGCGTAGGGCCGTGGCTTCCGTACAATGACGACCAAAAACACATCGCGAGCATGTGCGCCCCGCTCTCAGAGTTTTCTCCAGAGTGCAGGCGTGTGTCTGATGGACAGAGGATGAGGCAGGCTGATCAGGCAGAGGATACGTCCTGCGCAGTTCGCCTCTCCCCCCCCCCCACAGTTCAAATGGGATACAGGAAACACTCCCCTGTTATCCAGAAGCTATGTCTTGCGGCTCCCAATGCCCGAGCTGCTGGAACTCCTGTTGACACGAGAGGATATCTCCAGGGTTCCTCCAAAGGGAGGAAAATCAGGGGTTTCAGCTCCCGTTATTTTTCTAAAATTCCCGAAAAGACTGGGGGATGAGACATTCGCTCGATCTGTCAGTATTCACATGCCTGATGATCAAACCAGGTGGGCTGGAAATGTGGTCACCAGGACGAGCCTGGTTCCTTCCACCTGAAGGAGGCATAACTTCCACGTACCCCATGCGTCGCCAAACAACACAGGAATTCTTGCGTTCTCATTTCAGGGATATCAGACGCAGACAATAGTCTGGCCGTTCGGATATGTCCTGGCCCTCCCGATTTTTGTGTAGAGGAAGGCCTGGAGCCACCTACACAGAGGAAGGGTGAGAGTGTGGTTTTCTCTGGATGATCTGGGCATATTTGCTGGCCTCGCTGCCAAGGGAGGAAGTCGGGGCTTAAAGATCGGGACATCTCGTAACCATCTTTCAAAAGCCTGCCTTCATAATAAATTGGAAGAAGAGCTGTCCTCTTCCCTCTCAGACAATCGTTTATCCTGGGTGTCGGAATTAAACTCAGCCCAGCATGGAGAGGCGCGGCCCCCGGCGGCCCAGCGAGTGAGGAACTGACAGGGCTCGCGCTCCGGCGTGTCACAACCCCACACCCCTCTCCGTGACGCAGCTGCTCTGCGTTGGCGTCGGCTGGTCCACGTTGATGATACCCCTTGGTCTCTTCCAACAGGGGCTCCCAGAGGTGGTTCATTCGCTGGGCAGAGAGCCGCTGTTTTTAACCCCTATTGTTTATAAACCTGCAAGAGGCATCGCGTAATTCCTCTTGTCCCAGATATGCCTCCTACACAACGGTCATAAAACCCACGAGCACGGTTATCACACCTCCCGTGTGGACAGCATGCACAGCACCTCTCATCCGCCTGGGCGTGTAGCGCGGCCTCATGATGAGAGACGGAGTGAAATGCAGCGGGTGGAAAACTCGCCTCGCGGCCTTTTTCTCACGGGGCCAGGGCCGGGGCGGTGATGGCGTGGCTCGTCACTATGACGACCCATTACGGCCACATCCACGAGAAGCCTCTTCCCCCCCAGACAGTTCCATGGGATACAAGAACACTCCTGTCATCCAAGGAACAGTGTCTTGCGCGGTTTTTAGCTCCGCTAATTTTTCTAAATCTCGGAAAAAAACGGGGGATCGCCCCGTGCTGTACAATCAATGTGTTGCATTCGGGCACAGACAACAGGCCACGTCTATGGAAGCAGCTACCTCATCCGCGCAGGGAGGAGTACGACTGCGCAGCTTCTGAACGCAGCCAGGCGGGCTGCTTGTTCTGGGCGCGCACACACGTTGCTCTCCCATCAGAGCAATGTAATTCCCCGGGCGAATTGAACAGAGGGGGCTCGCAGAGCGCAGGCAGCCGTGTATGCGAGGATTAGCGGAGACTCAGACCTGTGTCACGCACACTGGCGGGTTACGCGCACTGCTGGCCTCAGTGGGATTTGGATTTTCTTTGGTTGTTACGCGCAACTGAGCAAAGCCCCATTTTTGACCTTTGGACGCAGGTTCCCCTTAAACTTTGTCAGCGCAAAGTAGTAATTACNTTCACTTTTGGTACAATGTGTTTTTCTCCATTCCCTTTTTCCCTGTAGATAGTCCAGTAGTAGGGGTAGTAATCAGCAGCGAGCGCTTCGACCCGTGTATTTCGGTTTATTCAAGGCATCCATTTTGTTACTCTACACTACAATATTGTTGTTTTATAGTTATTTGGGAATGTAATTAACCCGATTTGTGTTCTTTGAAATTGAAAAGGATATTGCATTGTGTTTGTTACTCTCGTTGCAGTTGTATATGTTTTAAGTGTAATTTGGCTAGGCTTCCTATTTTGTATGGACGTGCTTTTATTTTGAAGGAGAGTTAGCGCTGTTGACAGGAAGTTGTTGTTGCTATGGAAACAATGTGACGGAGAAAAGTAATATCTACATATAAAGACGGAGAAAGTAAAGGATAACGTTTATGGGTAAGTGTTAGCACCCCCCGAAGAGGCACAAGCTCTTACGTTGATTTTGGAGATTTAAAAAAAAAAATTCAATTTGGCAGCCGCGGCAAAAAAAAGAACAAAAAACGAATAACGAAATTGAAAACCGAATAGTAGGCCAACGACCGAATATTCGGATATCCGACTGTGGCTCAGTGGATAGTCAAAGTCAAAAGTCAGCTTTATTGTCAAAATTACTACATGTGTTATACATCCAGAAATCTCGAGATACCGTTTCCCGCAGTCCCACAGTGTGACATATAAATATAAAACAAAAAGGGCCTAGATAAACGGGGTATACAATTTAAAATGTTAATAATATATATAGTGTGCTGGACTTCGAATCATCAGCATGTCGTTGTGTCCCTGAGACACTTCACCCCAAATTGCTCCTGTGGGGATTGTCCACAGTATTGAGTATGTAAGCTTTGGATAAAAGCATCTAACAAGTGACATGTAATGTAATAATATCCGGGTACAGCCCTACTGCACAGTGCACACAATGGTTTGGCATATTTGAAGCTAATGTAACTGAAACATTCTTGCTTTCTTGATTGTCATCTTATTGGTTAATTGCAATTATTTGAAGTTGCTTTGGTAAAAGTGTCAGCTAATTAAAGTGTAATACGATGCTTGGAACCTCAACCTCTGTTGTCGCAAAATAAAGTCCCAGGTATTCAACAACTCTGAGTGAGTACAATGAGCACTGCTTTGGGGTACAATTAAACAGAAACGTGATATAAGAGGCTGAAGGTCAGGGCGTCATGTTTTACCTGGGCAGCTTCCAGAGAGGGAAGAGGATGGTGAGTTTGTTGTGGAGCTCCTGGAACTCATCAAAAGTGCGAAAGAGAAAGTTGGGCTCAGTCTGACCTTCCCTCAGGATCCTCACCACGTACGTCTAGAGGGGAGAGAGAGGGAGACAGACATGCGGTCAGGGGTCAGCGCTTCTCTACATCCACTGAATTGACGGAGCGTGATAAACTCACATAGTGCTTGTCCGGGTTGTATCTCTTCTGGAAGGAGAAGATGGAGGCGTGCAGGATGCGGCCCTCCTGCTTCATGGTGTACGTCTTCGGGGAGAAGGACAGGATGGGCTCGTCGTTGGCGGGCAGACCAGAGAACCGCAGCTGGGCCAGGTTGTGGATGAAGAAGTTGAACTTGGTCGCCACGCTGCCCAGACTGGACTCTATCAGCCTGGAGAGAGGGGGGAAAGAGGGGAGGAAGAGCCACTTGATTACACATGATTCTAGGGACATTTGTCTCCAACACTATGGAACTCTCTCCCTAAAGACATCCGCTCTGCAGTCTCCGTAGAAGCTTTTAAAAAACTACTGAAGACCTACTTTTGACATTGGCTTTTGTTTCTACTTGAGATGTGTGATGTGTTCTGTTCTCATGTTTGTTCCTCTCAGGACTCCACGTGGTCTGTGTTTTGTTTTTATGTTAACCTTAAGTTTCTGCCTCATGTTGTATTCATGTTTCTGTGGTCTTCATTTTAACTTTTGATCTTTCTTGTGAAGAACTTTGTGAATTCTATTTCTGTGAAAGGTGCTGTTCTAAATAAACTTATTATTATTATGTTGGCAGAAGAGATGAGATCATTTTTGAATGTCATTTAAAACTTGTACTACCATTTTGTATATTTTGATACGGCTGGACGTTGTTTCTTTTTGTTATTCCTATGTTACCAAGTGCTATATTTCATTATTTACGACAGGTGTTATTGCTGTACGTTTTTTAACTGAGGCATGCTAGTAAGCTGCTGTAAGTCTGCACGTTTTGATCGCACGTTTTTAACTGAGTTTATGTTATTTCATGCAGTGTTATAGCTATAGCATATAATACTGATTGATCAAGTCAGTAGTGGAATTCATCTGCTGTAACGCTTCAAATTGACTTTAAATAAATGCTTCTCCAAGTTGTACCTGCCTCCCGTGAGTACATTTGGTCTTAACAAAAGGTTAACATTTCAGAAAAAAGTCAGAAATAAAATATTCTTGCAGATAAATTGGCCTAGGAATTTGGTGCATTGTGATAAAGTCTACAGTAAGCAAAACAAAGGGGAGATACAGTATAAAGAGATAGTGGTGCTTAGGTGAAGGTGAAAAAAATATCTATAGACTTTTTTCTCTTTGACCTAAATCTGTTATACAAACAAACTTAGTTACAATCCAACCCGACTGGTTTTACAAAGACAAGGCCCGTCTGATACTATCTGTAGAATTTCAGGAGTATTTGTTTCTGTAAAGTGAGACAGCAGCTATTATTTTTCTTGCTGTGCTTATGTTGCCACCTGGTGGACTTTCAGTTTGCAGCAACATAACAAAGAAAGAAAGTAACAGCGTTTAAAAAAATACTAAGAACACAATTATTTATCCCTTTTATTTTGAGTTTACAATGTTGAGGTTGTCCAAGAGTTGGAGAAATTCAGTTTAGACTTAGTTTTATTTTTGCTGAAACAAGTGTTACTATTTGTAGATTTTTTGTTTCTGTAATGTGAGACAGCAACTATTATTTGTCTTGCTGTACTTATGTCGCCACCTGGTGGACACTCAGTGAGTAGCAACATCAAAAATAAAATATAAATAACAGCTCTGGCCAAAATAGCAGCTGTGCACACAAAAGAAAACTTTTCAAAAAACACCATTATTTTCCCCCTTTGTTGGGATTTTTCAATTTTAAGGTTGTTCAAAAGTTGGAGAAATTCAGTTTAAATTCAGTTTAAATTTAGAGTTATATCTGATCAGCGCTGGTAGAAGAAGTTGATGTGTTACCTGGTGAAGAAGATAGTGGCCTCAGCGTCTGTGTTGTGCGGCTGCAGGGCATCGAACACATACTTCAGATCCTGAGAGCCCGTCAGCTCGGGGAGGCCGGAGGACGTCATCTACAAACACAGAAAACACCAAACTCAGACGCATTTTCTGGGTTATTTCATTCCAAAATATTGTAGCAGATTAACCCATTAATTGCCCATCGTTTTGTACAGTAAAAATATTTCATAAAAAAGGCTTATACATACAATATATCTAACACTATCATTTTTACTTTACACAATTTCACCATTGTACCTTTAATCTAAATGTATTTTTTATACGTCTACCCTATGCTATTTTTTTTTTTGGTAACTGAATGCTGTGTGATATCAATGTTCTCTGAAATGTCTATGTGAAGCACCTTGAACTGCACTTATTGTATGAAAGGTGCTATACAAACAAAGGTTATTAATATATAAGTTCAGTCTCACCAGTGACAGCAGGTTGAGGAAAAGCCCAGAGTGTTTCCTGATGAGGTTGTAAGCCTGGCAACACAAGTCCACAAACAGCTGGAAGCGGCTGGTGGGTCGCTCGCCTCCGTTGATGACGTACGCCATGTCCGAGGTCAGAACGAAAGGAGCGCGGTCCCTGAGGGAGACAAGGAGAGGAGAAATGAATAATGTGAGCAAGTTAGTCAAGAAGTTGTAAAAAAAGTTTTAGTTTAAAGCAGGGGTGTCCAAACTTTTTTCACCGAGGGCCACATACAGAAAAATATATGAAGGGCTGGGCCGCTCCCTAGAGGTATATTGCCTCATAAGTTCAGTTATAAGTTAGCAAACTCAATCAAATAGGTAAAGTATGTGAGTGTTGGCAGCTCATCCCTTAAAACAGAAGCCTCTGATTGATTATAATAAGGAGAAATAGGAAGGGTGTATTTCAAGCTTGTTATGTAAATAAGTAATTGGGCTTTTTTCTCATCAACTAAGATTTGTTAGAAAATGTTTCCAACTTTAATCGACTGAATTTATTTGAAAAGTGGTTTTATTAAAAGGTAGGGTAGATAAGAATGGAGAAACCAACTTGAGTGCGCTGAAAATACGCAACCGGAATAAATCTGCCCCTTCCTTCAGACTTCCTTACAGAGCCCCTCCTCCAACACACACGAACGCACACATGACCAATGAGGGCACGAGATAAGTTTGAAGGCTGACAGGCAGGTAGGCCATCCAGTTATTTTAGCCGGGCCGGCTCAGATGATTGGTCGTGCTTTTTACAGCGCCACGGCTTCCACAGATGACATGTTTTAATGGATTTATTGTCAAAGCATTTAATGTATTCATTGCTATCGGGATGTTAAGAGCATTCCATGGAATATAACAAAAAGTGTTTCTGAAGTGAATTACCTACCCCACCTTTAACACATGAATACTACTGTGTAATATATGTTTACATTTATATTTAAGAAGTACAATATAAGACAAGCACAAGAATTTGCTGAGGGCCGATTAAAAATGGTCCGCGGTCCGCATTTGCTCCCGGGCCTTAGTTTGGACAACCCTGGTTTAAATCATTGGGTGAATGCACAACTCTGAAACTGCCTCAGGGCCTTTGGTTACTACAGAGCCTCTGAATATTTATGTGGTTGTGCTCCGCCGCTAAGAATAGAAGCGCATAGTTGTAGAGCTACGACCCACTTCATGCAGGAAACTAAACATTAATCTTATAGAGTACAAACCCCACACCCAGAAATCAGGCTCCCTCATAGGTGATTTTTTACTAGTAATGAGCACATATGATACACGTGTCTTTAGGTCTGTCACGATAACTACTTTGGCAGGCCACGCTGAGTAATTTATCCTGCATCAATATAGCCGACCTGAACGCTGTAGTGAGTGCTATGAAATCTTCCTCAAGCCCTCTGGATGCTTTACCAACGTCCATGCTAAAATACGTTTTTTAATGTGTCGCTCCACACCTGCTCCAAATTATAAACATCTCCATCGTCTCTGGCTCCGTCCCATCATTTTTTAAGCAGGCGGTTGTTCAGCCCCTTCTCAAAAAACCGAAACTAGATCCCTTCCTCCCGAAATCAACTCAATACATTTCTGAATGACAATGGCCGTTTCTCAATGTCGAGTAAACCTGCTGCAGAGCCACTATTTCAAGTATACTACGTCATCGAGTATAACATCCTTGACAAATCCCAATCAGGTTTCAGAAAACATCACTCCACAGAATCAGCTCTCCAATGACATTATGATGGCATCGGTTGCAGGTGAGTGCGTGGTGTTGTTGGAGCTGAGTGCAGCGTTTGACACAGTGGACCACGCCATCATGCTAGACTCAGGGAGTGGGTAGGCATCTCAGGGTCTGCCCTCCAGTGGTTTGCCTCGTACCTCAGTGGGAGAAGTTTCTCACACAGCACTCCCCTATGCTGCGGCCTGCCCCGAGGGTTCTGTTTTAGCCCCCCTTCTTTTTGCCCTTTACATGCTCCCATTAGGCCACTTAATTAGCTCATTCACGGGTGTCTCGTATCATTTTCATGCAGATGATATCCAGTTATACTTCTCCTTCAAACCCGTCAAAATGGAGAACTTAAACACCCTGGTTACATGTCTGTCTGCAATCGAGGAGTGGATGTCAAGCAGTTTCCTACAGCTCAATGCATCAAAAACATCGCCTCTAAGGTAGCAAGCCACCTGGGTTCATTCAGTGGTAACGTTAGGGCAAACGTAAAAAACCTTGGTGTTACCTTCGATCAGTCTATGCTACTAGACAAACACATCAAACTCCTGACCCGTACCTGTTTTTTCAATCTCAGGAACATTGCCGAGCTNAAAAGTTAAACAAGTACAAACATGGCGTCATGGCGAATACAGTCGCTGGTTCATTCATGCCTGTATAGGCCGTTGCGAGTGTGGACGGTCGGAGCATATAGCCTATATTGCGTTCGCTAAGCCGATCTCCATTTAGANACCTGTTGTAGCCGGTTTATTGATGTTTTGTTGAGGCAGGAAAAAAGAGCATTGCAATAATCAAGCCGGGATGAAATAAAGGCATGGATAGCCATCTCCTGGAGATGGCTATCCATGCCTTTATTTCATCCCGGCTTGATTATTGCAATGCTCTTTTTTCCTGCCTCAACAAAACATCAATAAACCGGCTACAACAGGTCCAAAAGGCTCCAGCCAGATTGCTCACTCGGTCCAAAAAAACCTGCCACATCACTCCGATCCTTTCTGCCCTGCACTGGCTCCCTGTTCATCTCAGAACCCAATTCAAGATACTGGTCTTCACATATAGAGCTGTCCATGGCCAAGCCCCAGCCTACATCAATGACCTGATCCACCCTCTCACCACAACCCGGGCCCTGAGGTCCTCTGAGCAAGGCCTCCTAAGGGTGCCCCGAACCAGGTTAAAGACTAAGGGGGACCGTGCCTTTGAGGCGGTGGCCCCAAGGCTTTGGACTGAACTCCCCCAGAAACTAAGAGCCTCTGTCTCAGTAGAGATTTTTAAGGGGCAGCTAAAGACTCACCTTTCTCGACAGGCCTTTGGGGCGCCGGAGAAGGAGGTGAGTTAGTAGCTGTCTTTCATTGGTGTTTTATTCTACATTTTATAGCTGTACTTTGAATTGTGTATTGTGTACTGTATACTGTAAAGCACTTTGTACATTTGTGTTGAGAAGGGTGCTATACAATAAAGTTTTACTTACTTACTTATCTGTTGAATTATATATGTAATTGTTCCAGAAATGATTGCAATAGACAATATTACTGTAATTCTAATGCCATTGTTTGCCACTTATGTAATGAATATATGAAGGCATAATAATGCAAGTACATTGTCAGAGAATAATTAAGTGACTTTTTAATTCTTAAGAATATTCAGGCATTTCAATTGGAATAAATAAATAAATAAAACTATACAACAAACAATGAATAAAGTGTACTTCTGGGCTCTCTTGACCAAACACTGCACTTATATTATGGTGCTTGATTGTCTTATTCATTGTGACAGGTCTGCAAGTGTTGAATTGTTTCTGGTCTAATCTTGTAACACTACCACTGGGACACAACGCTTAAGAGTCCATGTTCTCATCACCATATTAGATAAGGTAACTAATGGAATTAAGTTTCATCATGATTTTGTGTTAGCATACAGGTACATGACTCCTCACCTATTATCTAAAGACTACCTGTTATAAAAACCAAATGACAGTTCACTTCCTGAAGGACAGACCTTTACACCCTGACAGAGCACCAAAGCTTTATCTGACTATCACGTGCAAAACACTCATACCCACAATCACGTGTTTAAGAGCATTTCATCTGACTCTCACCTTTTGAAGCTGCCAAACATCTGGGCGTGTCCCAGGAACTTCCCGAAGTCGATGTGGAACATGTGACCCGTGGAGCGCAGCATGATGTTGTCGTTATGACGATCACAGATGCCCAGAACGTATGTCGCCACACAGCACCCGGCACACGAGTAGATGAAGTTCTCTGACGCCTAAAAAGAGGAAGAAGAGAAAAAGTGAGACACATATGAAGAAGTTCAGAAGCATGGATACTTAGTGCAGGGCTCAGGCTTCAGGGATTCTTTTGGTTGGATACATAGAGAGTACAGCAGGGCTATTCAATCCGGCCCCGGGGTGATATCTACTGGCCCTTTGAGTATAATGTTAAAAAGTAATCACATTTATTTTTGGGCCAGAGTGCCTTTATTCCAGAGAGGGTGTTACATTGAGAGATAGAGGGGAAGACATTGCCTGAATACTTCGGCGGGCTCGGGTTTCGAACCCACCTACTAGCTACTGTAGTGACAACCAAACACAACATATGCACTCCACTATGCTGTTGTTGTAGTATGTACTGTATCTGAAGCTCTTAATATGATTGCTCATATTTCAAGCCATCTTTTTCCCGGCCCCTTTCTTTCGATCATTTTCATCAACCGGCCCCGTTCCAAACTAATTGAATAGCCCTGGAGTACAGTATTGATGTAGTGTAAGTGGAGGGCAACCATCTTAAATGCTTAAGAAGTGAAGTGACGTTTCAGACCAGAAACACCTCATTTTTTTGTACCTACTTTTCCAGATGTTTCAAGCTAAACCAGAAACAATAAATGTTGTACAGACTTTAGAGTTTGTCACAAGCCTTAAAAACATCGTAGCTCAATATCAATAAATATCTGATGACTTGAGCTGAAAAAGTAGAAAGATAATTAGTCAGACAATTTGACTTATATTTAGCTAATCAATGAATCCGTTACTTTTTCTTCACTCAAGTGTTAATATTTACAGGTTATTTCCTCCTTTATTATAGTTAATAGAACATCCGTTGGTTATTTTCTTGATTATTCGATTAGTTTTCTATCAAATAAGACAAGAAAATTGTGAAAAATGTGACATTTGAGAACAACATCTAGGGCTATGGGAAAGACTGAGCGACATTTATTTTACAATTTTCTTGTCTTATTTGATAGAAAGCGATTAAATTAATCAAGAAAACAACCAACGGATTAATGTAAATAACTGTTATTTGCAGCCCCTCTGATGAAAGGTTGATTCCTCTGTTGTGCTGAAGTTCAGGGTCTAACCTTGATCAGTACATTATAAGGGTCACAGGAGTGGAGTAAGGTTTCACATTTATAGGAGTCAAAGGTTGTAAACGCCTGTAAACTTCAACTGTGTGTTTTTCACTCCAAGTCAAGTCATTGTGTCAAAGTAGTATTGAAGCCTTTTATTGCTAAGTGTTAACACCGTAAAGGTTAAAAAGGTCTTACTGAGATTCATGATATATGTGAAACCCCTACTTTCTGTGAGATAGAGAATATTCTCACTGGTTTTTTCTGGTGTGTCTGAAGTGCTTTGACCTTTTAGCACGTATGCTCTATGTGTGTGTACCTTCTCATACTCGTCCTCTGCAGGGTTGTACTTGCGGAGCCACTCGGCCAGCGGTTTGTCTTTGAAGGACCCGGTGACGCCGTACTCCACCTGGATCTTTCTCAGGGTGTCGGAGGACGGCACCAGCTCCACCATGCCTTTAAGAAACATCACAACTCTTAGAAACACAATGCAAAAACATAACAGTCAGCTTTTTATTAATTAACTGCCATGGACAACTGGAATATGTAGACATAACTTTGACAATACCTTTCCATAAACGTAGCTCATGAATAACAATTATATTTTTAAAGTAAGTTGGTTTAGTTTACAGGACAGCGTTAATGATTTCCGTGCCCTCTGACAGCAGCTGAACACTTCCTTTGTACCTTGCTAAACATTTGCACTGTTTACTAACTGTACGTTTCCTATTTGTATGTACCTTTTGTACTGGTTTTGTAATATCTAATTCTAATATAATCTGCACTGGTTTTGTAATATTTATTTTTTATTTGTTTACTAAAATACACATTTTAAGTGGAATAGTTACTCTTCTTCAACAATGTTTGGGCAGTCACCGTACCGTACAGGATTTATTGCAGGACAGTTGTATTGCACTGCATTATTAATACCTAGGAGTACCTACTACATTGATTGTTTGTGGCTAAATGTCAATTAAAGTGTCCTAAATCTTGAAGTTGTATCCACATCGTGACACTTGACATGTGAATGGGGGCTGTTTGTGTTTGCCTGTTACCTTTGTCCTTGCCGGTGGAGATGCATTTGAAGTTGACGATGCGCAGGTCCAGGCCCTCCTGCAGCCAGATGCGATCCATGATGCGGATCATCTGAAGAGCCAGCATGTCCTGCCTCAGGTCCTCCCCAACCTGACACACACACACACAGAGGCACACGTTACAAAAACACTGGGGTTTTATTATTATTGTTTGGATCTCACTTCAGCCACCAGGGGGCGCAGTGTTCAGATGAGAAGCATGTAAACAACAGTTCGGTGCAACAAGTTTTGTGAAACCAATGACAACAACCCAGTGTAGACTAGTGGTGTGTGAAAGAAACACAAGAAGCAGTTTTGTAGGCACCATATCATGATGGCTGTTCACATAGAGTGTACATTGTTAGGCATTTCTATGCACAGTTGTAAACAGTATTTGTGTGTGTGTGTGTGTGTGTGTGTGTGTGTGTGTGTGTGTGTGTGTGTGTGTGTGTGTGTGTGTGTGTGTCTGTGTATGTGTGCATGTATGGGTGTGTGTATGTTTGTGTATGTGTGTGTGTGTATGTGTGTGTATGGATGTGTGCATGTGTGTATGTGTGTGGATATATGTATATGTGTGTGTGTGTGTGTGTGTGTGTGTGTGTG